AAATTCTTCTTTCTCTGCTTTTCCTTTAGACTAATCGCTGTAATTGGTGAGAGAGTGGTGTGTGTTTATTTCGATAATAGCTGTGTTATGGTAATTGCTGATTTTTGAAACAATCACCGTTTGTTTTTTAGCAAGTACATTTTTTCTGATGGTTGAGGCAGAGACTAGGATGATACACGTAGTTCACTACCACTGCAGAATTCCTTCTCCCCGTGAAGGCACAGGACGCCAGCAGTGTCCTACTCTGACACAGATTTAAACTTTGTGAAAGAAGCTCAGTCTAAGCTCATGGTAGACATGTATCTGCAGGTGGAAATATTTTTGTGACTGGGTGGTGGGGGGGGAGGTTTATGTAGCTTTTCTTTTGTTCAGTAGCTACTGTGTATTTTCCATTTGGATTTCCAAGTTGCTATATGTATTTTTAAATTTATATGTTTGCCAGCTTTTCATTAAAATGAATTTATTTCTCAATATTTTGGAACTTTTAAAGAGTCTCATTATGCTTTTCTTGTATTCATTCTTTAAGAAACCCGACTATAGAAAAAAGTTTTCTCTTTTCTCTTAGTATATAAAAAAAACTTTTGAAATGATTATTTTATATAAATTTCTTGTAAAGTCAGAAAGTAGCAGATTCATATTTTAGTTGCAGAAGGGACCTTGGCCATGATCCAAGCCCATCAAACATCCACGCGAGGGTTTGAGTACTACCGTGAAGGACTCTTGTGCTGTGAGGACTAGATTTCTCTTAAAAGTGGATATTCAAGTTTATTCTTTAATTTGCTTTTTTTCATATACCAATTTGACTTTTTTCTAATTTGAATTTCTATCAATCACAAATTGATCATTTGTGTTGCTCTTTATTGGTGCATTCCTTTTTAACTGAGAGAATTTATTTTTTAGAGCAGTTTTCGGTTGACAGAAAAATTGAGTGAGAAGTACAGAGCTCTCACTTTCCCCCTCAGTCCCTCGCCCCGCCCACAGTTTCCTCTGTGTGAGTGTGTGTGTGTGTGTGTGTGTATGTGTGAGTGTGCATGAGAGTGTGTGTGAGAGTGTGTATGAGTGTGTGTATGTCCAAGTGTGCGTGAGAGTGTGTATGTGTGAGTGTGCGTGAGAGTGTGTGTGAGTGTGTGAGTGCGCATGAGAGTGTGTTTGAGAGTGTGTGTGTGTGAGTGTGCATGAGAGTGTGTGAGTGTGTATGAGAGTATGTGTGTGTGTGTGAGTGAGAGAAAGAAACAGAGTCTCATTCTAGCGCCCAGGTGGGAGTGCAGTGGCACGACCGTCGCTCACTGCGGTGTTGAACCCCTGGGCTCAAGCGATCCCCTGACCTCAGCCTCGCCAGGAGCTGGGACTGCAGGCATGCGCCACCACACTTGGGTAATTTTTGAATATTTTTTAGAGACAGGAATCTCGCTGTTTTACTTTGGTTAATCTTGAACTCCTGGCCTTGCGTGATCCTCATGGGATCACCCGCATAAGCCGTGAGGCCTGGCTGGTGTCCGTTATTTACGTCTGACATCAGTCTGGCATGTTCGTTACAGCTGATGAGCCGGTACTGATGCGTTATATTAACTACATCTGTGGTTTACAGGAAGGTTTACTCCTTACATCGTGCAGCTATAGGTTTGACAAACGTGTAACGACGTGGACGCACCATTACAGAATAGTCTCGCTGCCCTAAAAATCCCCTATTCATCTCTCCCTGCCTACCTGCAGGAGACCCCTGGCAACACTGCCATGTTTACTGTTTCCGTAGTTTTGCCTCGTCCAGAATGTTCCACATTTGGAATCGTGTAGTATTTAGACTTTTCACGTTGGCTTCTTTGACTTAGCGACGTGCATTTAAGGTTCCCTCGTGTCTCTCCAAGGCTTGATACCTCATTTCTTTCTGTCGCGGGATAATATTCCATTGCATGGTTGTGCCACGGTTTATCCCTTCACCACTTGAAGGAATCGGGGTTGCCTCACAGTTGTAGCAGGTGTGAATGAAGCTGTTGTAAGCATTTGTGTGCGGGTTTCTGTGTGGCCACAGGTTTTCAGTTCATTTGAGTAAATACCAAGGAGTGCAGTTGCTGGGTTGTGTGGTAAGACCGTGTTTGATTTGGGAAGGAAACTGCCAGACTATTTTCCTGCCAGCAGAGACTGGGAGTTCCTGTTGCTCCGTGTCTTTGCGAGTGTTTGACGTGGTCGGTGTTTTGGATTTTACCTGTGGTACCCGCCCCCCCCCATGACTTACCGTGCGGTTCTCCAAGGACATGCGATGGAGAGCATCTTTCATGTGCTCATTCGCCCCCCGTAGGATACGTCTTCTTGGGCGAAGTGTCTGTTCAGATCTTTTCACCTATTATTAAATTGGGTGGTTTATTTTCTTATTGTTGAGTTTAAGGGTTCTTTGTATATTTTGGATAACTATCCTTTATTAAGCATGTGTTTTGCAAAGATTTCTCCAGGCTGTGGTTTATCTTTTCATTTCTTTAAGAGTTTCCTTTGCAGAGCAGAAGAGTTTAATTTTAATGAAGTTGAACTTATCCGTTTTTTCTTTCCTGGATTATGCTTTCGTTCTTGTATCTGAAAAGTCATTGCCAAACCCAGGGTCAGTTAGGTTTTCTCCTACATCGTCTTCTAGGAGTTAAGTTTTGTGTTTTACATTTGGGTCTGTGATCCATTTTGAGTTCATTTTTGTGAAAGGCGTAAAGTCTGTCTAGATTTAATTTTTGAAATGTGGATGTCTAGTTCTGACATCGTTTGTTGAAAAACTACCCTTTCCATGTTGAGCTGCCTTTGCTTTTTGTCAAAGATCAGTTGGCTGTATTTGTGTGCGTCTGCTTGTGGCTCTGTTCTGTCACCCTGACCCGCGGTCATCCAGCATCCGAGGGGTGGTCCCAGGACCCCTCCCGGATACCCACATCCACGGATGCTCAAGTCCCCTCTGTAAAATGGAGCAGTATTTCCATAGAACCTGCACAATCCTCCCACGTACTTTAAATCATCTCTGGATTACTTACACTACCTAATGCAGTGTACATGCTATGTAAACAGTTATTACATTGTATTTTTATTGTTGTGTTGGGGTTTTTTTTTTCCACTAGTATTTTTTATATGAGGTTGGTTGAATTCCCTGGTTGTTTGAGTCCACGAATGTGAAACCCATGGATACAGAGGTCTGACTGTATTTGTCATTTTCATTATTTTTCATTTTAATCTTCATTTTCATATTTATTTGAATGCAATACCTTGCTTAACCAAGACTTTAAGTTTCAAAAAATTGTGTGTCAGTTGGGTTTTTGTAAATCCAATCATTTTATAATGACCCTTATTATTATTTTTAAAGTCATCTTGCAATGCCCCTTTTGTAAAGTGAATAGCTGTTAATGAAGTTTATGAAAATGCAGATTTTATTTTTTAAATGTTTCTGAAGGGGAAGCCAGTTATTCCTTTTTATGGTATGTTGAAATACATTTTTAAAATGACTCTTTTAGTTCACTTAGAAAAGCCTTTAAAAAAAACACAAAACAATACAGTTAGAATATGGTTAGTTGTGAAGACCTAGAAGATAACCTAGATTTTCTAGCAAAGTTTACTTTAGACCTTAGGGATCATGGCAAGAGCTCAATTACTGACTCCATACTCTCCACCAGACACACTTCTAGGTCTTCGTAAACCGTTAGTGTCGTATTATTACGTTTGTTATCCTCGTTCTACCGATGGAGAAACCAGGCCTTAGGGAAGCTACGTGATTGACCAAGGTTTCGCAAGTCAGCACGTGGCTGAGCTGGATTTGACCTTGATGTGTCTGACTCCAAAGCCTGAACCAGCACATTTGCTTGTCAGCTCACACTTTAGGGAGAGATGGATTTGCAGAGGAGGTTATTTTGTAAATGATTCGTTCTTTGTGAGTTTTTTAGACATTTAATTATATTAATAAACCTTTTTTTCCCCTTTGGGAGGAGTGGCCATATTTGTGAAATCAAGGAATGCATTTTTTTAGTATTTTAAGAACTATCAACTTTACTAGTTTCTAGAAAGGAATCGAGGTCTAAAATCATATAACTTGATTCCAAATAAACTACTTGGATAGACTTCAGAGCTATATCTATATCGTAAAGCAATTTTGTTTCTTTTTTTAAGATGTTGGTCATATAACATATTCAGATGGACCACCATTTAGGATTTCTTTTTTTTTTTTTTGAGACAGAGTCTCACTCTGTTGCCTGGGCTAGAGTGCCGTGGCGTCAGCCTAGCTCACAGCAACCTCAAACTCCTGGGCTCAAGCGATCCTCCTGCCTCAGCCTCCCGAGTAGCTGGGACTACAGGCATGCGCCACCATGCCCGGCTAATTTTTTCTATATATTTTTAGCTGTCCAATTAATTTCTTTCTATTTTTAGTAGAGACGGGGTCTTGCTCTTGCTCAGGCTGGTCTCGAACTCCTGACTTTGAGCGATCCACCCGCCTCGGCCTCCCAGAGTGCTAGGATTACAGGCATGAGCCACCACGCCAGGCCAGGATTTCTTTAGTTTAATTTTCAAATAAAGCAGAGTTTTCTTCTTTACTCCCTAATGTTTTTGAACCCTCTAATGTTTTATGTAATACATTCAAGTGTGTGAATGTATAACATCACGTTCTTTATCTGATTTAGGTAATAAAAAAGGTTTTACAGACTTAAATACTGGTAGTGTCATTACCGTATAAAGAATAGATGTCTAACTCTGAAATACCACCACACAGAACAGAAGTGATGCAACCAAGTGCTTGTGCATTAAGGCAACTTTCCTCCCTGTTCTGTTTCCTCACTTGGGTACACATAGATCACTCAAGATATTTTCCCCGAGTGTCTCCGAATTTGTTCCAGTTTGTCTTGTTAGTTCTTGCCTAGAGGAAGTATAGTTGGTTTTCTCATTCTTAAGTTAGATAAGTTAAGAAAAACCTCTTCTTTTTTAAACAGTTTGAAGCTGTGATGATGGAACGTTGGTGTTAATGGGTTTTCTTTCTAACCCTCACACAGAGCAACATTTTGCAGACGTCGTACTTAGTGAAGAATTTCTCAACCTTGGCATTGAACAAGTCTGCAGCTTAATCTCAAGTGACAAACTGACCATTTCCTCAGAAGAGAAGGTGGGTGCGTTTTCCTTTCTCAGTGTGCAGTGACGGAGGACGTTTCCGTTCTTTATTTCACCTCGTTTTGTGACTTGTGGTCCTCCAGGTGTAGTGACAGTCGGCGATCTTTGGTCTGGTAGTTAAGAAACTCAGGTAATTGCCTTATTGATTGTCTGTAAATTACTCTGTTTCTTCACTTCTTGGGAGGTTCCCTAAAGTTTTAGATGTTAGAGTTTTGCACGGGGCCTCCACAGCGAGAGCTCGCACACAGTGAACTCTGAAACAGGTTTCTTCCTGCCGCTAGATGCCTGTAAGAACTGTGATCCGAACACAGTGTTTCTCACGGAAGTGATTGCACTGTCTTCTGAGTTGAGAGAAGTTATCCAGGTGGCAAAGTTTTGCTAGTTCTGGACTGAACCTCCTTGACTGTCGTCTTCCTTGTAAATGGGTTCCCTGTGACTCGCACCTCACCCCGTCCCTCCTTCCGTCCCTCCTTGTGGAGCACCGTGCGCCTGCCGCCTGTGCCTGTCCGTCTCTCCCGCGGGGCTGCCTCTGTCGGCCACTGCGCCTTCCATGCACTTGGAGAGAAGATTCTCTCCATGGGCTTTCTTTGGGTGGGTTTTGTAGCTCGTGGGAATCAGGACATAAAAGCTCGTGAAAACACTGTGCTTAGAGGAAATGAAACGTTTATATACATATATATAAATTTATGGGGTACAGTGCAGTTTTGTTACATGAGTAGATTGAGTAGTGGTCAAGTCAGGGCTTTTAGGGTATCTGTCACCCAAGTAATGTACATCGTACCCACTGAGTAAGTTTTCATTGTTCACCCCACCACCCTTCCGAATCTCCACTGTCCATCATTCCACTCTCCATGTCCACGTGTACATGCTATTTAGCTCCCACATATGAGTGGGAACATGTGATATTTGTCTGTGTCTGGCTTATGTCACTCAAGAAAATGCCCTCAAGTTCTATCCACGTGGCTGCAAAAGACATGACTTCATTTTCTTATGGTTGAATTATTCCATCGTCTACATACCACGTTTTATGCAGTGCTCTGTTGGGGGACACTCACGTTGATTCCATGTCTTTGCTGTTGTGAATAGTGCTGTGTAAACATGTGAGTACAGGTATCTTTTTGATATATTGGTTTATTTTCCATTGGGTTGACACTCAGTAGTGGGATTGTTGGATTGTATGGTAGTTCCATTTTTAGTTTTTTGAGAAATCTCCATACCATTTTCCATAGCAGCTGTACTGATTTACGTTCCCACCAGCAGTGTGTAAGAATTTCCTTTTCTCCACACCCTCGCCAGCATCCGTTATTTTTTGTCTTTTTAACAATGGCCATTCTGACTGGCACAGGATGATATCTCATTGTGGTTTTAATTTGCATTTCTCTGATGATTAATCATATTGAGCATTTTTTCATATATCTGTTGGCCATTTTTATGTCGTCTTTTGAAAAATGTCTATTCATATCCTTCTCTCACTTTTTAATGGGATTATTTATTTTTTGTCGTTGAGTTGTTAGAATTCCTTGTGTATTCTGGATGTTAGTCTCCTGTTGGATGAATAGTTTGCGGATATTTTCTCTCATTCTGCAGGCAGTCTGTTCACTCTGCTGATTATTTCTTTTGCTACGCAGAAGCTTTTTAGTCTAATTAAGTCCCAGCTGTCTACTTTTGTTTTTGTTGCCTTGCTTTTGAGGTCTTAGTCATGAATTCTTTGCCTAGACCAATGTCCCAAAGAGTTTTCCCTAGGTTTCTTCTAGAATTTTCATAGTTTCAGGTTTTGTGTTTAAGTCTTTAGTCCACTTTGAGTTGGTGTTTGCGTGTGGCGAGAGACAGTGGTCCGGTTCCATTCTTCAGCTTGTGGCATTCCAGTTTTCCGGCACCAAGAAGGGACCTTGAGTTTCTCCTTTGTGTGCTTTGCGTTTAGAGTTACATTAACTCTGATTTTGTTTCTCAAGGGTATTCATTCCACCTGGGGGTAAAAAGACACATTTGCTCGATTGCTCACGTGTGAGAAAACGTGTGGCGGTGTTTGTGGGATGTGTAACTATCGCACTCTAGAAACGCTTAGGAGGACATGACAATTCACATTTAATAGACAAGTGTTGAGTGCCTGCCACACACCATGCACTGTCCTGGGGTCCTAGGTGGAAGAAGATTAACAAAATAACATTCTTTACTCTCCCCTTGTGGGACAGCCAGGAGGGCCAACGGTGACAGAATGCTGCAAAGAGTGCCACAGAAGCTTTCAGTGTTGTGGGAGGAGGATAGGGATGGTAGTTCAGCTCGGTTCAGATGTGTGATCTGGTCTTTAAAAATGTGTGAGTTTGCCAGGGAAATGGGAGGGGCATTCCGGGTAGAGGGAAGAGAATATACAAATATAAAGAGATGGGAAAGAATGATTGTATTCAATTTGTTCAGGTGGTTTGGAGTCTAGAATATGGGAAAATCGTGGAAGATAAAATGGGAAGATGACATAATAAAATATCTTCTCAGCAATGTTAAAGAAAATTAACTTCATTGTAGGGATGAAAACCTCTAAAATCTGCATTACAGACATATCCTGAGGGCTGTTCTGTTTTTTTTTTTTTTTTTTACCGTCTAACAAGCCACTCCAAAATGTAGTGTCATAAACAATAACCATTTTATTATGCTCGGAATTCTGTGGTCAGCGGGGCTCCCTGGAGCAGCTTGTCTCTGCTCCTCAGTGTCTGAGGCTTCGGCTGGGGTGCCCCAGTGGCTGGAGGTACCTGGCACGATTCTGCTGGAGCCGCAGATCCAGGGCTTGAGTTCTGCCCATGGCATCTTGTGCGTCTGGAGGTCCAGGGTGGCTTCTTCACTCACTCGTCTGGCTCCTGGGCTGGGGGTTCACTGGTCTGTCCGCTTCTCTCTCTTTCTCAATTTCCATCCTTTCCCTTCCCTCCCTTCTCTGTAGCTTGCTTGGGTTTCTCATAATCTCAAGTAATCAGACTTCTTCCATGACGTTTAGCTTGCCCCAAAAGATTATTTCAGGAGATTGGGGTAAAGGCTGCAAGGCTTCTCACGACCCAGCCACAGAAGTCGCTTCCCCGGCTCTCTGTCGGTTGCACGGGGCAGCGTGAGGGTGTGGATCTTGGGAGATGTGGTTTATTAGGGGCCAGCTTTGGAGTCGACTTCCTTCGTGGTGATGTGCAGAGTGGACCAAATCCAGATAGGGGGATGCTGAAGTCATGCCGGTGAGCAGTAGGATCTGACGTACGGCGGGAGAAGCAGGAGTGGAGAGAAGACAGAACAAAATAGTGGGTCGAATGGGCAGAGTGCAGACTGCCTTGTTCACTCTCTCCCGCACCTGGCACACAGACGTGCTCGGTGAATACTTGACAGAATGAATTAAAGAGGGGTGTTGAGTGTTCTTGCTCTCTCCCTGTATCAAAATAACCTGTTTCCATTGCCAGTAATCCATTTGCATATTATCAAACATTTTCTATAACTCTGACCTCAAATGCAGGGAAAATGTTAAAGATTATCAGGTGGTATATTTTCTTCCTCCAGCATGAAAGGAAATTATCTGGACAGATACTGTCTTCATATTAGCTTATTAGCTTTCTCATAGGTATATGTTGTAAGTAGTAATGCCCTTATCATGTAGTTTGTAAAAAATTTCAAAGTATTACATTTTAATATGTTCCATTGTGACAGAACAGAATTAATCTATTCTGCAGACCCTTGATTTATAAGTGTATGGTCCAACATTTATTTGTAAATCTAAAGAAAAAGCCAAACATGAATTATTTATAAGAGTACATGATTTTCATTCCAGCATAGCACTTTGCTTTATTATTTTAGATGCTTCCTTCAAAGGGACGTAAGATTTAAATGTAGGTGGGTAGAACTAAATTCAATTTGGAAAGGTTATCTGTGGTGAAATAGTTCATATATCATCAAAATTATCATAGCTGTCATTCCAGTTCAGGAAGATTAGGTGGTAATGTACTTGGTAAAACGCTTAGTAAATACCAAATGAAAAGTACTTACTAACTATGCAGAAATACTAAAAGTACTTACTAATATCATATAAAAACAAAAAAGAAAGAAATGGAGCGAATGGCTTTGTAAGTACATTGTAAGTCAGGATTTTGGAAAAACTCGAGCCGTGGATGAGACTTGGAGGTATTAGTGAGAGGTGCATGTGGAACGCAGTCTCATGTTTTATCTGGATGCCCTGGCACGCAACTCATTGCTGACTTTTCCTCTCCGTGCTCCCCGCAAGGTGTTCGAGGCAGTCATCGCGTGGGTGAGCCACGACAAGGACGTGCGGCAGGAGTTCATGGCTCGGCTGATGGAACACGTGCGGTTGCCGCTGCTTCCTCGCGAGTACCTGGTCCAGGTGAGTGCTCGTGCGGAGCATACGGGTGCATGCAGCGGCGCGTCACTGCCTGGCCCCACGCGGATCCTCGGCACGCAGTGATGAGGGATACGGGGCCCGGGTCCGGGGAGCGTGGCACGGAGGACGGTGAAGGCGTCTGTCTGTGGAGCTGCCGTCTCTCAGACCGCCCCACTCACAGGAGTTGGCTGTCCTGCCCTCGAGTGTCGAGGCCGCCGTGGTCGCTGACGTGCGTGCGGTAGCGGTACCTGAGGCTCCGGGTCACTGCTCTGTGGCTTCTCTGCTGCTCTCTTCCTTCGACAGCCTCTTGCGATTCTCCTGCAGAAATGGAATTTTGAGGTTTGACCCAAATACTGTTTAATTTTACTTCATAATTTAATAGTGGCACACGCTTGATTTTTGTCTTTATTTCTAAGCAGAGGAAAAACACGTTATTTGAAATAAATAGGAACAAATGATTGTTTAGTAGTCCCTGAACAAGTTTAAATTTACTCTTTTATTATTAGCATCCTGCTAGGAACATTTCAGCATTTTCTTAATAATTGAAACCATCGAAAGAAACATTTCTTTAAGAGATTGGATCTGAACGTTTTAGGGTTTCTGGAAACCTCATTATTTGTTGGGATCTGTATGATCATTAGTCCTCTGTTAAGAAAATAAACTGGAAAAAAAACAAAACGGTGTCCTGCATTTGAAGTCGGGTATCACCAGTGTGAGATTCGTTTGTGGTGTAGGCAGTTGCTCTAAAGAATTCTGACGCTCTTTTCTGGGTACTTTACCTGCCTCTTGTGCTTGAAGAAGGTATTGTTAACTTGCTAGGAGTGCCTGCCCCGCCTGAAGGAGTCATCACCTACATTTTGTTTCTAGGGGTTTTTTTTACTATTTGGCTTGGTGTTTAAAGATAAGAAATAGGTGAATATAATATTATTTAAAGAGTTTATCATATCCTACAGCTGACATCAAACTTAATCATTTTTCATTGCAGTTCTTCTCTTTATTGCCGACATAAAGTTTTCTCTGCAGGCCGGATACCGGAGCATTTTTTGGTTTCATTTGTTTTTCTCTTAGTCATATTTATGAACTTTGCTCTTTACTTTTAGACTAAACTAGAGAGGATAGTGACTGCTTTTTTCCTCTTCTTCACTTCCGTTTTTTGGGCAGTCTCATAATGAAATAGCTGTCGCTGCACGGGGTGTGTCTGATCTCTTGCAGAGGGTGGAGGAGGAAGCCTTGGTCAAGAACAGCAGTGCTTGCAAAGACTACCTCATCGAGGCCATGAAGTACCACCTGCTGCCGACGGAGCAGCGGGTGCTGATGAAGAGCGTCCGGACCCGGCTGAGGACACCCATGAACCTTCCCAAGGTAGGACCCGTTATTCTCACTTGCTGTTACCTCCTCCGAAAGGCCCCTAGTGAAGCTAGCGGTTAATGTCTTTGCTCCTCTGAATTTCCGTGTTTTATTGTTTCAGTTTTCCTGCAGCAGGAAAGGTTCCTGAGAGTGCATTGTGGTCTGCACGGTTCAGTCTCTGCTGGCCTTGCGTGTTGACAGTGGGGCCGTGTGATTGGTTTCTAGATCATTATGGGCTGCACGAGGTCACCCTCTGGGGCAGGAGACAACTGGCTCTTGTGCCCCGAGTTCCATCAGCGCTAGTGACAGTTCAGAAGGCTCTAGCTGTAGCAGAGAGAGGAAAATCAGACCAGGAGAAAGGCTTCTCCGAGCGCCAGGTGTTTACGTAGTGAACAGAACTGCGCAGCAGAACCAGGATGATAAAACGGTGGCTCAGTGGGTGTCCTTTCTGCGCCCCGTCCTGCACGTGCCGCTCGGTGGGTCCCCACACGTCACATGTGGCGTTTCAGTGTCGATGTTTCACGTCTTCCCCTATCTTCGCTGTTTGTGCTTTCCTGTGCGAAAGTTTATATTCTACCTTCATCTTTTCAGTTGTGTTTTACTGATTTAGTTTTCCTTACAAAATAACCCCTCATTTTTGTCTCTCTGTTTGCAGTTCCTTCTGTTCTGTTTGCATCTTTACAATGCCAGAAGACCAACACTTTAGGTACCATTTTGTGTGTGGTCTAATCAGAATGATCTGTAATATAATGCTTTAATTTATGCATTTATCTTTAGCTCTTGTGCGAGTTTGGAGCAATGCTGTATTAAGAAATAATAAACTGTTATCCATTCTTATAACATCTTTAGTTACTACTCTGTCTTTTCTATTGAATTATGTCTTTTAAATTCTTTCACATCAATGCTTCTATCTAATGTTTTCTAGTTTTGTTTGTGGAGTCTACATTTTTAATTGCATCAAATCTTTATTGGTATTGTTTTCTGATTTGCCCAGTGTTAACAGTAGTTCTCAGTGTAGAACTAACTGCAGATTCTGCCAGTGTGCTGTTTTCTCATTTTTCTAGATCATTAGTAAATATTTTAATTTAAAATGGACCCTAACACTCTCCCTGGTAACACCGCATTAGAGATACCCACCCACTGACACTGACATTTGCGGAGAGTTTCAGTCTTTGTGATTATGTTTATTATCTAAGCCAAAAATGTATAACTTGGCATGTGACATCCAGTGAGACTGAGCGTTAAATGAATTCAGATTTGGCATGAGGTTTCTGAACTGCATCTGTCTCTCCAGGCCCTGGGTCAGGAGCCCTCTGGGAAGCTTTCCCTTCCGATCGGCATTAGCAGTCGGTGTCTGCACTGATCACTTAGCCTTGTGATCACGGCTCATTTCGTGTTGTTCTTGAGTTGCCTCCGGATTTCCTCTCCTCGTTGGGATCTGTGAGCTCTGGGGGTTGGAGACGTGGCTCGTGCTTATGTGTAGCACCTGGCAGGGGCCGCACAGGTGCAGACGGTCGGCACTTAGCGGATAGTTGTTGGCCTGAGTCAAAGATGTTTATAGACCTCGTTGGTTCTCAGCAGCAGACTGTTGCGGTTTCCAGCGTCTCTATTGTCTGCCCTGCTGGGTTGTTGATTGGTGGGCATCAAGGGAGGTCTCTGCACGGGAGATCCAGGAGTGTGTGCTCAGCTGTGAGCTCCAACGCAGTTACTCCTCCTTTTTTGATAGTTTTTTTCTTCTTCCATCTTGCTTTTAATACCTTACTGTTCTTTTCACCTCACCTGCCCAGTCACACGTGTTTCATTTCTGTCTGCTCCCCTGGATTACGGCGGTCTGATGCCTGGTCGTTGCGAAACACTACGCCACACTGCCGCGTTGCCAGTGCCGACTGCCTGCTGTTTTTGGGCTTAAATATCGCTTTTGCTTGAGGGATCAGAAACTCATTTTAGTTTCTGAAATCCTTATTTTTGAATAAATGTGCTAGATGATAGAATTGTAGCTCTAACACGTGCCCCCTTTCTCGATGTTTATTGAGGGTTGGTCAGCTGGTTGTGTCTCCCCAGCTCACCGTACGTCTTCATCCCAACACCCCCCACGCCACTGTCTCTGTAGGACATTTAAAATCCCTGAACACGTAACAGTCGTTTGTTCACGAACACACGTTTCTGCCCTTGCAGTTGATGGTGGTGGTCGGGGGCCAGGCGCCGAAGGCCATCCGGAGCGTGGAGTGCTACGACTTCAAGGAAGAGAGGTGGCACCAGGTGGCAGAGCTGCCCTCCAGGAGGTGCAGGGCAGGTGAGCACCACGCCACATTCCTACTGCCGGGAGCCGGGAGCTTCCCTCCCAAGTCTCATTGTGTAACTAGAATAATCTCTGTAGAAAAGCCCTGATTAAAACAGCCATGTGGTTAAACAGTGATTCGGGGCTCACATCACTCACGTAAGACAGGGACGGGGACAGCTGCTCTGTCTTCGTCTTCACGCGTCTGTCGGGTTCCTGTCGGGTTCCGTAGTGAGGGGTGGAGGAGCTGGCACTTTGGTGGTGTTTCCTCGTTGCCTCTGCTCCAGTGTCGGGAGGGGAATTCTTTAGGTTGGGACCCTTAGTGTCAGGAGACGCCTGACTCAGCGGTAAGTCTCAGCTGCCTTCGTCCAGGCATCTGTTCTACAAGCATTTGCTGATACAGACAATCATTGAACCAAAAATGCAACCAGAGGAGGCCATTGCACACTCTGATGATCCTTCCTGAGACTTAAACTTGGATCTGTAGTTTCTGTCTCCCATAGCAACGTGAGTTCCAAATGGAATGGAATGTTTCTGTGACGGTAGCTCTTTAAAAGTACATCTTGGAGGCCAGGCGCGGTGGCTCACGCCTGTAATCCTAGCACTCTGGGAGGCCGAGGCAGGCGGATTGTTTGAGCTCAGGAGTTCGAAACCAGCCTGAGCAAGAGCAAGACCCCGTCTCTACTACAAATAGAAAGAAATTAATTGGACAACTAAAAATATATAGAAAAAACTAGCCGGGCATGGTGGCACATGCCTGTAGTCCCAGCTACTCGGGAGGCTGAGGCAGTAGGATCGCTTGAGCCCAGGAGTTTGAGGTTGCTGTGAGCTAGGATGACGCCATGGCACTCTAGCCCAGGCAACATAGTGAGACTCTGTCTCAAAAAAAAAAAAAGTACATCTTGGAGATTGTTACGTGTCAGCATATTCAGAGTTACCTCCTTCTTTAAAAATTGTCTAGTATTTTACTTTGGTCTGAATGGTAGTGTGATTTTGCTTGTTTTTAATTGAACATTAAAATTGTTTTTAATCTTATGTTATAGATAGTGCTATAGTGAGTTCCTCATTCATACATCATCGTGTACATGTGCTAGTATATTTTGGTAGGATAAACTCTAGAACTGGAATTACAGACTCAGAGGGTATCCTGAGGATGTACTAGTTGTTATTTTTACTAACGGTAAATAAAATATGACGGGGCCAGTTTCCCTACGCTCCTGACAACACTTTGTAGTCAGATGTTTTGAGCTTCGCCAGTCTGGTGGGTGAAAAATGATATCTCCTGTTAATTTTTACTTCTGTAATTATGAGAGAGTTAATTCTCTCTGGATTGTCACTTTGTTGTTTTTGCCATTTTTATTAAATTGTTTTAGTGATTTCACCGAGAAAGTAGCCTTCATCATGTGGTCTGGCACGTGGGGTGTGTGTGTGTGTGTTAATTTATCTTTTGACTTGTGCCATTTTTGCCATGTAAAAACTTTACTTTTTACGTAGTCCTGTATACCAGAGTCTGTGTCTTTGGACTCAGAGATTTGTTTTTTGCGTAGAAAAGCCATACTCCAAAATTATCTATGCGTGTGTGTGTGTACTTACTCAGCATGTTTTTTAAGTATTTTATGCTGAAATAATTTTACCTACAGAATAATAGAACAAAGAATTCTGGTGTACTCTTTCCCAGCATTAACATCTTACGTACTGTGATAAGATCAAAACCTAGAAGTAGCCCTGGGCGTTGCTATGAACTGAACTTCTCTCAGATTCCACTGACCCCGACTCTGTTTCAGGTCTCACTTTGTGTTTCGTTGTCTTGTCTTCTTGGTTTCTTCTGGTCTGCGACGGTTCCTCAGTCTTCCCTAACCTTTTACGTCCTTGATTCTTTTGAAGAGAACGGGTCATATATTTTGAAGAATGTCCCTCAATTTGGATTTGTCTGATGATTTCTTATGATTAGATTGAGTTATTATGATTATTTTTTTGTGACGTTAACCGTGATCACTTGGGTGAGGTAGTATCTGCCAGGTTTCTTTCCTATAACAAAATTATATTTTAAAAACATGAATTTTTTAGTACCTTTACAATTTCATTTTTTATATTCGTATCTAAAACATCTGGGTATATTTGGGTATAAGAAATAAGGTGTGGATTTTTTTTAATGGCTAGCTAATCGCCCTGACTAATCTACCCCGTCTCCACTCATTCGAAATGGTGCCTGTATCATAGACTAAATTTCTACATTTACATACTTTTGTTCTAAATTTTCTGTTCTCTTTTGTTGACTTGTTTTGCCCATCCAAACATCAGGACAAAGCAGTTTGGATTACTGCGCTCTGGAATATGTTTCATATGTGACGGGACTAGTGTTGTCTTCTGTGTCCTTCAGTAGATTTTTAACATTCTCTTTATATGGTTTTGTATGTTTCTTGACAGATTTATTCTTGGGTATTTTATCTTTATTGTTACTTTTAGAAACGGAATCTTGCATGCTGTTCACTAACTGGTTTCTCAGTTCCTGTCTGGTTGCTGGTACGGTTCCTTTTCATTGCACTGTAAACCACTGGACTACATTTATTCCGGAATCTCCCGTTTGCTCGTTGGGTAACTGCGGATAGATTTCACCTGCTTTGTGCCCCCTCCCCTCTACCCCGTTCAGAGTAAGAGCAGATACCCTTTGACTGTGTCATCATGGCCAAACTCTAACAAACTGTGTCATTAAACTTCTCGGCACTTTGATTTCCTGGTAACTTTGAGTTATCACGTTTCGTTTACTTTCGTGTCCTCTCCACCTCTGCAGAGCCTTGGGGGTACCTCGTAGATTGATTCCTTTATTTACTTCTCCCCTGCTACTTGAAATACCCTAAAATTTGGCAAGCATACTATGCAGCCTCTAAGAGGTGGTAAAATTGGGGTTTTTGTTTGTAGAGAAAGGAAAATGAAAATGGCAATGGCTCAAATTCCCGCAGTGGACATTCCCTGCTGTTGCTTACGATGCAAGATTTTTTATGCTGAAATACGCTGTCTGCTCGGTTGCTGCTCACTGGCCCCCTGGCCCTCCGGGGGCTCCGCCACAGTCCCTGCCAGCAGGAGGCCAAGTGAGCATCGGCATTTGAGCTGTGCGGGGTCTGCTGCCGTGTGGAGGCTGCACTCCTGTGTGTTGCAGGGAGCGGGGAAGTGAGGCGCCAAAGGGTGAGACAGTGGGGAGCGGGAGCAGCCTTGGCCTGGCGCACAACATAAAACGTTGAGCTGGTCAAACAGAGATTCAGAACTGACTGGGAGGCGGGTTGCTGCCCGCGAGCAGGCGCGGTTACACGAGTGTCACAGCATTAAGGATGGTAGAAGTTTTAACAGTTTGAAGCAGTGATCCTGCAGGTGTGTCATGTGGATGTTATTTTCTAAAGGGGGTCAGGAGCTAGAGGTGATCCGGAAGCCTCAGTGAATGTGGAACTTGGGGCTCGAAAGCAGAGGCAGAGTGGGCGGCGAGCGGCACTTTGCAGATTTAAACGTCACGCAGGTCAGAGCAGTGAGAAGAGGGTTGAAAGCCTCAGTCTGGCAACTGAGTTCCTCCACCCAGGGATCTGCTAACGTCTCTTTAGCCCAGGGGTCAGCAGACTTTCTCCTAAAGGACCAGAAAGTATTTTAGGCTTTGTGGGTGATGTGGTCTCTGTTACAGCTAGTCAGCTGCTGCTGTGGTGCAGAAGCAGCCACGTGTAAATAAATGGGTGTGGGCCGGGCGCGGTGGCTCAACCACCCGAATCCCAGCACTCTGGGAGGCCGAGGTGGGAGGATCACTCGAGGTCAGGAGTCCGAGACCAGCCTGAGCAAGAGTGAGACCCGTCTCTACTAAAAATAGAAAAAATTAGCTGGACAACTAAAATAGAAACAAAAAATTAGCCAGGTGTGGTGGTGCACCTGCAGTCCCAGCTACTTGGGAGGCTGAGGCAGGAGGATCGCTTGAGCCCAGGAGTTTGAGGTTGCTGTGAGCTAGGCTACCCCACAGCACTCTAGCCCGGGCAACAGAGTCAGACTCTATCTCAAAAAAAAAAACAACTGTGGGATTGTGTTCCAATAAAACTTTCATTTATGGATGCTGAAATTTGAATTCCATGTAACTTTTCGCATGTCATGAAATATTCTTCTTTTGGTTCTTTTTCAGCCATTTAGAAATGTGAAAACCATTTCTAGCTATTCCTACAAAAATAGTTGGTGAGCCACATTTAGCCTGGAGGCTGTAATTTGCCGACCCCTGATTTAGCCCACTAATGTGATAAACTAGAAGCACGTTATGAAACGAGTCATAAGCATATAGAGTTTCACTTGAGAAACATCCATCGAAGATCCAAAATTGAAAGCCATGGGACATGTGTATTGGTTCAGTAGTTAGAAAATAATTATTTAAGTCTGTAAATATTTGAAAAAGCCAAGACTTGAAATGGTACCTTAGCTCATGCCGTAGCATTTTTTAATACCCTTAGAAAGGAAGACAATTTAGTGATTATGTATTCTTACAGATAAATAGCATTTTAGGACCTAGTTGATTGATCAGATCCCCCTAAGAGTAGTACCTTGTTCTGACGGTAGCTGGGGCCTGGCTGCGCGGAGTCCTTAGAGGTGGTAGTCGAGTATCGATCGTTAAGTGCTGTATCCTTTTGTAGGGATGGTCTACATGGCTGGGCTTGTTTTTGCTGTTGGTGGCTTTAATGGCTCGTTAAGGGTCCGCACCGTGGATTCCTACGACCCCGTGAAGGACCAGTGGACCAGCGTCGCCAACATGCGAGACCGGAGAAGCACTCTGGGCGCCGCAGTGCTGAATGGGTTGTTGTACGCCGTGGGAGGCTTTGATGGGAGCACAGGTAACTGACTTCCCCTTCATCTGTTCTGCGTTGCTGTTGGAATTAACACAGCGACCGGTTTTACGGAACAAGTTGTGGCAAAATCAGGACACATTTGAGTGTTTCAATAGATAGTATATTTAAAGATAAATTTAAAAACTACACCAAGAGTTTCTTTAAATGATGTGTAAGTGCTAAGTATATAAATCTTCTTTCTTACCTGCCAGTGTCAGTCATCTTACCAAGTCTAAAAAGCTTATCAATGTCAGTAGCCCGAGTGAGAGCCCTCTGGAAAACAAGCTGTTCCAGTTTATCACGTAGTTACGTGTTTACATTCCACCACGTTCTTCTTTTAATTTTGGTCCAGTGCCACATACCCGAATCATGTTTCCCTAGTATACACGCATAAAAGAACAGCTGGACTTGTTACGGGGGCTGGTGCAGAGTGTTGCTTCGTTACAGGGTTGTCCTCAGTGGAAGCTTACAACATAAAGTCCAATGAGTGGTTTCATGTCGCTCCGATGAACACCAGGAGGAGCAGTGTCGGCGTGGGCGTCGTCGGAGGTAGGTGCTGACGGCGCTTTCGGGTGAGCCTTTCCAGGTACACGTGGCTTCTTGATTCCTGAGAGTGGTTCGTCCCACAATCTAAACCCTGGTTTTATTAATGGGCAAATCGTCATTGAGAAAAGAAAAGTAGTAATTACTGTAAAATTTCAGTTATCCTCTTTCTATAAATTAACCTGTGTAAAAGGCCCTCTCTCTACTCCTCGCTGCCCTTTTCTCTTTCTCCTTTCTCGCTGTGTGTGTGTATGTGAGTGTGCGTGTGTGTGTGTGTGCATGTGTGTGTGTGAGCGTGCGTGTGTGTGCGTGTGTCTGTGTGTATGTGAGTGTGCGTGTGTGTGAGAGTGTGTGTGTGCGTGTGTATGTGCAAGCGTGCGTGTGTGTCTGAGTGTGTGTATGTGAGTGTGCGTGAGTGTGTATGTGAATGTGTGTGTGTGTGTGTGAACATTTTGTGACCCCAGAAGCAGCCCTGCTGTCCTTGGCCATCGGCTCTGTCCCCCCCAAGCAGCCACTGACAGACTTCCTGTCACTGCGCAGACTTGGTCCTCTGGACATTCCGTGTTAATGAAATCGCGTAGCACGTGATCCTTGGCACATGGTTTCTTTCACTCAGCATGACATTTTCAAGGCTTATCCAGGCTGTAGCATTTATACTTAATAACTTCATGTCTTTTTATTGCCTAATAATACCCACTGCATTCTGGTATTAACTCTTGATTTAACTTTTTTTTTTTCAGCTTACTAAGATAAATGTGATACTTAATTCCATTTTCCAGGATGATGATGTTCATTTATCACATAGTGTTATCTAAGGATGTAATGAGTATACTTTCTGTTCTACCAGATTATTGATGAAAGTGTAAAATTAACATCATAATCTATACCCTGCAGATCTTCATAATATGGTTTAATTACCCCACGTGTCACCATTAGGCAAGGCCTTAGCATAGCTCATAAAAATCAGTAACACTTTAAGGGGAAACTGCTACCAACAAGGAAAATACATTGATATTTTGTGACTTAAAAAGTAGCTTTTGTGTAAACGTGGCTTTCTGTGTGACTCACGCTCAGGTTTGCTCTATGCCGTGGGTGGGTATGACGGAGCCTCCCGCCAGTGCCTGAGCACAGTGGAGTGCTACAACGCCACGGCCAACGAGTGGACCTACATCGCGGAGATGGGCACCAGGCGGAGCGGAGCCGGTAAGTGCGGACCCGGTGAGCAACTGAGGCACAAAAGTGAAGGGAAATGATTAAACAAGTGAAATGATTCGTGGGCGTCTCTATACGTTATCTGAAAATATACTATGTGCTGATTTTAGTGGCATTGCTGAATGTCTTTTGAATCGTGCAGGAAGTGTTAGGTAAAATTTAATTTCTAACTGTTATGTGAAGAGACTTCTCTGTTTCATTTGCATGTTCATATTGTTGACATTCCTTTTAGTTTTTTGTTTTCCCTGGTAATGGGGACCTTGCTTAATAATCAAGTCTTTTTGTATCTATTTCTTGTATATTTTGTGCTTTAATATTGAATTAACTTTTTTGTGGATGTTGTTTTCAAAAGGATTATATTAAAGGACTTTTTTCCTCCCTACGTTTCACCTACATATTATTTTATTTTTGATATGCCTCATTTTTTAGAATAATAGTTCTGTTGAGATCCTTGTTTAATCGTCAATTCTATTCATTTCCATTTCTTAAATTGTAGGCTGTGATATAGGCTTACTTTTGTTACGAATTATAATTTGAAAAGTTCTAGTTAGAAGTGATTTGAGTAAACCCCGGTAAATTGTACATTTCTTGTTCTTCCTGCTCTACCGTAGTTTGGTTGTTGTGTTTTATAGGTGTTGGTGTGTTAAACAACTTACTGTATGCTGTCGGAGGTCACGATGGCCCTTTAGTACGAAAAAGTGTTGAAGTATATGATCCCACCACTAATACATGGAGACAGGTTGCAGATATGAACATGTGCAGAAGAAATGCAGGTATTTGTCTGGTTTTAGATTATAAAATTTATACTGAATTTTATTTAAAGCTGTGCTAATATCACTTTGTATTCCCATTGTTCTTTTACTTATCTGGGTTCCCTGATGGATTTTGAACACTTTTGAGGCAGAAACTTACGTCATAACCCTGCGGAGTGAATGGCTAGCACAGCATCTGAAACAGCTGCTACTTTCTGGTGGTGAGTGTGGGAACCAATCAGGAGCAGAGCCTTCTTTATCTGACGCTTGAATTTGTGCATTCTTACCACAAACGTTTTTGAGTGGTGCCTGCCACGTACCACACACTGGACATCCCAGTTCCTAGGGAATTCAGTCTAGTTGGGTAAATATTTACACTTGGTTAAAAAGCGAATTGATTATCTGAATCTGGAGGGTAAGCCTGAAGGTGTAACCCTTATTTAATACAGTTCTGCGTTTCCAGAAAATGAAAAAAACTAAAACAACAACAAATAATAATTGTAAGAAAGCAGAGGTCTTCAAGATTAGGGAAGTAATGAATTGCTTGGGGAAAAAGATCTATGGAGGGAAATACAAATGGAAAGTAGATTCGGGATAACTTGATAGCTTTCTAGGACTTGCTAATCTTCAAAATACCAATGTCTTCATGCCATTTCCCACAGTCTAGAGCAAGACTCTGATGATTCTAGCACTCGCTGCGCACCAGGGGGTGGTGGTGCAACGCGCACCCCCCAAAATGTTCTCCTTGATTTCCCGTTACTTTGTCCGTGATTCCTAAGGGAGACTAAGCATGCGGGCCTGCAGGGACTGCCAGCAGCAGGGCAGGGTTTGTTATTAATTCTGGGAGAGCGGGCTCCCGTCCCGTCAGTTGCGTTTGGTGAGTTGCTAGAAGCCTCTCAGCTGTGGTCTGTGTCGAGTTAGAAAAGCCATGGTGGTGCACGCGTGCGCCTTCCTGGATTAGGAAGCTCATTTGCGGCTTGAACTTTCGTGATTATTTTCCTAAAGATTGAAATAAACTTATTTTTTCTCTACATATGTTTATTGTTTTCATATCAAAAATTAGCTCATTTCTTTTATCAGAAGAATAAGGAGATAATTTGCATGTAGAGAGCTGTCATTATCCTGGCCTTTGAAAATTTGTGGGAAAGGGTGGGGTTTAGGAAAAAGACTTTTCTGAAGTCTCTGTTGAAAAACTGTTTCATACTTTGATTTGGACAGCAGTTAATTGAGCTTTCTTTATTTGGTGACCATCAGGAAGAAAGGGAAATATGAAAGTTAGTTTTCAGTTTGTTTTTCCTTCTCACATGTATTTATTTTCCACGCAAGTAATAAAACTTAAATAATTTACTTCTATAATTTACAAGACAGTATAATCCTATGGAACATGTAATTTTCAGTTATTTATATACGCTCGTGAAGAGTATTTTAAAATTCCGTATTTCTGATAATCTGAACAAACTTCTGGTAAGATCTATCCCGCCCATCCTTTTTCGTATCCCTCGAGGAAGACCTCATCCAAACACCCAAACTGGGAAGAAAGGGTTAAGCTAGCAAGGCGGGGAGGACGTATATTCGATTGCAAATGAGGAGAGGTGAAAGCGTCCATGTAAATCAGAAATAACAACAACTTATAAGTCAGATTTCAAAAGTTTCCATAAATACGGTCAATTATGACCTCGAGTGGAGCGAATGAAGTGCATTTTAACCAGGTCACGCAGAGCCCCACGCTACGCAGCACCTCTGCAGGGGGCTGAGGTACATGTGTGACGCAGTGACGTGATGAGGTGCATGGAGTCGCTTGGAGCCGGGAGCACTGCGGGAAGGAGCACGCTTTGTGCTTTGCAGAGCGACCGGGCTCCATCTGCACGGAGGGAATCTGTCGTGTGAATTAGCAGGTTGGCAGAACTGCGTCTTTCGAATGCTTCGCTGGTGCGTCCACACGCGTGCGAAGACTGGCCCCCCTGTCCACAGCGGGACGCTCTGTCCTCTGGGAGCCCCGCGAGATGAACTGGGCAAGCCCCTGACTCTCCTTCCGCCACAGCGGAGCACTCTGGGGTCCTTCTGTCTCTTCCCAGCCCCGTGTTGCCCGCGGTGGAGACCTGCACACACACAACAGCTTTGGGGAACTCGCGTGGCAGCTCTTGCTGCCAGTGCTCGAACTACTTTTAAAATGTCATGAGTTTGCGTCCTGTCAAGAGGCCAGAACAGCAACACTGTTGAGTTTGGGTGGCATAGAGAGGATCTACTCCTTCTGCACAGAACAGTGTTGCTAGTGGACTTTTCAATGCTGTGTAGAGGTTGGGCTTATTATGTCATTGTGTTAAAAATCTGCAAGCCTCTGTTAATTATGTTAGGAAAACTGTCTACAAAATGGCAAAGGCAGTGTGTGGGCAGCCTCCTTTGGGATTCTTGGATGTCCTCTTGGAAGAGTTCATAGTGGCACCAGCCTTTTCTAGGATATTAAATGTACTTTATTTTTGCACTTGGCCTGTTCTTCCGCAGAAAGGATATTAAATATACTTTAAACCAAATTAAATTGAAATGATGAGCTTTCAAAAGTGTCTACCATTTGATTCAGCAGTTTTCTTTCTAATAATTTATAGTAAGAAATAATTGCACAAGTATTCAGAAAGGTATGCAAAAGACCCTTATTTATTGCAATATCATTGATGAGAGCAAAGAAAAAGATAACTAAAAGTCACTAAATATCCCTCAGTAAAAGGTGATTAAATAATGATACTATCATACATGGAATACTGTGTAGTCATTAAAAATTATGCACATTTATATTTATTAATTTGAGGAAATTTCCAAGGTGTATCGTTTGGCAGAAGTGGGTAAGTAATAAAGTAGCATGTGTAGTGTGAGCTACTTTGGGATTAAAAA